TCAATACAACACATCAGAAGCTGACGTTTCGGTAGCGTCACCTTCTTCAGGGCTTGGAAGGGCATGCTAATATGCAATTTGCTAGGCCAAACGCTTCAATAACACTTACGAAAAGACGAAAAACTATGGCAATTACATGATAAGCAGCTTGTAGAGAAACACCGCTTTTTTCGTGACATCCAATGAGAAAGTTTAGAACAGCTGATTATAGTCGCGTTTGATATTTTTGAGAAGCTATTGGTCACGTAATCACCACAGAGTTTTTCGCTTTCTACGTAACGCGTCCCCTAATAACGAGGACGTGATGGAGTCCTTCAACGTTACTGCGCTCTACACCAGCGTATCGAATGACTCCGCAATGTAAGCCAACTCCGAACTTCTTGTTGAACATGAAGGCAGAATAAACATGCATGGCATGAATAGCTTGTCCATCCAGCAGCTAATGGCTCTCTTAAAGGAGTGCCTAAACTGCTCAATTTTCAGGTGGTCTGGGAAATATTTCGCGCCAATAAGGGGGTTGGCAATGGGACAGCGACTGGCACCAGGCCTTGCCATTGTGTTTATGTCTAAGATAGAAGCCCCTGTTCTCGATCTCCTGCCACTACTCTACTGCAGATATGTAGATGATTGTTTTGTCGTCTTCTCTACATAGAAGGAGATGGACAAATGCTTTGAATTATTGAACGAGCAGTCTGAGTACATAAAGTTCACCTGGGAGAAACCGAGAAAAAACTGGCTTCCGTTTTTGAACGTTCAAATAAACCTATCAAGTAGCAGTTACTTGACAAAGTGGTACCGTAAGCCAAGTAAGAATATCCTCGTTCATTTCCTTTCTTCTCACCTTCCACATACAAAGAGGGCGATTGTGAGAAACATGTTTCGAACAGCCATCACTGTGTGCACTACCAGGGAACTAAAGGAAGAGTCGCGCGACTTGGCTAGGCAAATAGTCATCTCCAATGGCTACGAAATAGTTGCCGCATGAGATAGATTTAGAAGGAGGGCGACGCGCCCACACGAAACACTTGGCTAAAAGAAGATCCCGTTTATGTTGCCTTTTATAAGCGATGAAGTAAGTGTAGCTATAAAACTATGCCTAAGAAGGGTAGGTCTAGAGGAATCGGTAGCGATATTTGAAATACCACTGGCTACCCTACGTCGTCAATTAGTTGGTAACCGCCTGTTTAACCGTCTATGTGAAACAACAAATTGCGTAATTTGCCCTTACGGCAGGGACGGTGATTGCATGAGTTCAGGTACGATATACCTGATCTCTTGTAATAATTGCGAAGTTGAATATATTGGCGAAACGGGCAGACCTTTGTGTATCCGTATAAAAGAGCACTTAGATGGCAAACGAAAAGCAAGACAAAGTACCCCACTAGGCACGCATAGGATACAATAGCATAACGAAGACAATTTTGGAGTTAAAGTCAATATCCTTGCACAAGAGACTAAAACACCTGCGCGAAAAGTTTTTGAGGCTTTTTGGATAAATGCCAAAAACCCTACAATGAATAGCAGGGATGAATGCCCGGAGGTCATACGCGACCTGATCCCGTATGTAGCATAGCGGAGACGATTTTGAAGTATCAGTATCCTTGCACAGGAGTCCAAAACACCAGCGCGAAAACTCCTAGAGGCTTCTTGGATCAATGCCAAAGACCCTACAATGAATAGCAGGGATGAATGCCCGGAGGTCATACGCGACCTGATCCCGTACGTTCGCATCGATTTTTGATGTAGGATGGTGCAGTCGTCAACCACATGCGAATATAATCAGCTGATCTAAACTTCCTCATTGGAAGTTGCGTAAAAAGCGGTGAGTTTTTCGAGAAGCTGTTGATCATGTCATTGCCATAGAGATCTTTTTCATTTTGCATGTGTTATTGAAGCGGTTGGCTTTGTGAATTGTATATCATTATGCCCTTCCAGGCTCTGAAGAAGGCGGTACTGCCGATACGTCAGCTACTGTTGTGCTGTATTGTGTGTCTATGGAAGTAAATGCATGTTGTATAACATCCTCGCGATTTCTGAACAAGAAAACGGCGCATTCATATTCCAGTGGCGAAGTTAATAGGAAGTCGAACCTGGGAATTGAACATTATTGTGTCTAGAATAAATGGGTCATCTATGTTACCAAAATAGTCTATGCAACAACTATTTGTTTCATTGATTAGATCGAATATTGATTTGTTGGACAGATTTCAAAGGTCTTATGGAATTCTGTTATTCCGCTGTATTTTTGTAATAGGCAATACAACGTCATCGATCCTTTGGCACTGTTGTAATTTGTTCATGGAAATGCTTTCGTGTAAACCCTCCCTGACCTCATAATGTAATAAGGAATTAATAGGAACACACATCAGCCTCTCGATTCCGCTTTCAATAACGCTGACTTTTCTTTCATCCAGCCTTGCGTCCAGGATCCATAACGGCGTTAAGGCAGGGATATCTTGGAGTTGAACGCGTGGAGCCAAGGTTGAATGTTCGTTTCCTTTTTACTACAACCTGTGTGGTCTTAAAAATTTCTTAGACTTTTTGCTAAGTTTTCCATTATGCTAACTTTTCAACCCAGGTACAAAAAACAGGTGTATATTCACTCTTTTGATCGTGAGTGAGGCATCGGAAATAAATCCGTTTTTCATGAAAGTTGTTCCCTTGATGTTAGGTCGAGGAAGATTGTTTTCACAGGCATTGTCAAAATCAGCAAGCACTCTTTCCTTCTAACATCTATTCTCATAAGAATGATTTCAACAACAATGTGAAATTGTGTAGTTGCGGTTCATCGGTTTTCACTCCTACGTTTTCCCATTCCATTTTTTGCAAAATGTCCTCGAAGGTGGCTGTACATAATGTCAGCCAGATGGTATTGTCTTGTTGAACCTGTTGAATCACTCTACGTTAGTGTTAATTGCGATGTGAAGCAGTGAGTTGCTGGTTATGAAATTGCCAAATAGTTCATGAAGGTTTGCACGGACTACGGACACCCTAGCTGACCAGACTATCAATGGCCACTTTTGTCCCATTTAAGCAGAATGTCTTTTTTAGCCCAACAAAATTGAGACAACAGTTTTTCCTTCGTTTGCAATACTGCAATGAGTTTCGAAGCCGTGTGAATATAAAGGATCCTTTTCTAAAAAATGGTCGCTTGCAGGCCTCTCCAGTGTTCTGTCAGCTTTGTTCAGGGTGACTTGAATGGAGTTTTTGCAGACGATAGACAACAAGCAGATTATGTAGTAATTACCGGTGTTCTGAAGACTTTTTCTTTCGTACGTTCGTAAAAAATGGCTTTTCCGATTTTCCACTGATTTGAAACCTTTCATTGTAAAGAGTGGCGCTTCGAAACAAGTGAGCCACTGTGTTAATGGGAAGTCGTTTCAGATATTAGAAGACCATGGTAACACTCGTCTCAATTTCCGGTGTAGAGATATCTTCCTTCATCTATTAAATCGTTTACAAGGGTCAACATTACAGATTCGGCTACGCCAAGAGTTCTAGAGAATTTCTCATCAGCATACATTTTAACTCTACGCGCATTCATCTTCTATGCATTTTCAATAAATCTAACTACCAGTGTCTCTCATCAGCGTAATGAAAAAAGGCTCTTGTCGTTCTGGAAGCAACCTCGTTTGCTAATCTCTACAAACGATTCCAGCAAAAATGAAGATCATTTGCGAGTCATATACCGATTTAACAACCAGAATTTCCCCATTCTATGGAGTTCTTAACATTGGCATGAGGAGAGTTGTTCGATATGGCGACACTATATCGTGAAGCCATCCTCGAGAACGTCTTGCAAAAACTGGAGTAGGAGAGCAGGAGAGTGAAAGTCGATGGTCTAAAAGCACACCATTTTCTCATTCCTGATAATATCGTTCTTATAACATCAAGCATCGGCTAAGCAGAACAATTGTTGGCCGACTTTGACAACGCCTTTGAAAAGATTGGCCTTCAACTAAACTTTATGAAAACGGTGCTAATGTGAAATGGATTTCTTTCTAATGCACCATCAACGAGCAACAGAATAAATATTTCCGAACGCTTTAGCTATATGCATTTGGATCGAGAAGTCAAGATGATGAAAAAGCTTGGTTCCAGAGCTTTGAGTAAGACGAAGCTAGCGGCTTGGGAAGTAGTGAGGCAAACAAAGACACCAGACTCCATGGCTACCATATCGACTTCTATTCTTCTTGCCTTAACGCTTGCGTCAGAACTCTGGTCGCTACGTATGCAGGATGAGGGTTGACTGACTCAGCGTAATCTACCCATTCGAAAGGACGATTTTAGAAGTATCTTGTACCACACAGGTGAGAAAGGAGATCGAAGCTGCGACTTAACTCATCGATAAAAAAGCAAAGCCGCTATTTTACAAGCTGCAATGTCGGGAATTACATGTGCTGGACAGGTGTTGCATATGAACGACAAACGATGGGCAGGAGACGCTAGCGATTGAATACCATGAAATGTCAAGCACAGCAAGAAGATCTCTTACTGATACTCAGGTATGTTGTATATGCTCATTTTTTAACTAAGATCCTGGAAAAAATAGATCATTCTCAGAGAGCGTTTAGGGCTAGGAGAATTCACTGAGGTAATCTCACTCCTCATTGTTACAACTGGAGATGTGATTTGTCTACAACTGCCTGCTCACTTGGCGATCAACAGCAGTTCAGCTGAGAGTTGGCGGCCTGTCCTTCGAACTAGAGTTCGACCAAAAAAAATTTCCGAAATCACTTATTTTTTCGTTTTTGCTCTGATAGATTGAATGAAACATAAACTAATAAAAAAACAGTAGAATCAACTTAAGAAAGTAATTCAAAAATTTTTATAGAATATGGAAATAGTGGATGCCTTCAGGAATGGATTTTTTCTATCGAACTTAGTGGTTGTGCTAAGAACACTTATCGGCTACGAATTTTCAGCATACTTAGGTAGTGATTAAATATGTAATGCAAAAACGAGGAAATTAGCCCTCGTGAATCGGTGGAGGGGAGGTGATGATTCCGCTTCGACGTCGTTATCGTCACATCAAAACAGCCGGTTCGGCGCGCTGTGCCCCTCTCTTCCACACAGCCATGTACTATGTCGTCTCCATCATTCTCCTGCTCATCGTCCTCCCACAAAGAGGTCTTTTTCCAATTACCTCGTTCTCCTATAAACATTAGCTAGATTTAGCGAGCTGCTCATTTTTCTCACTGCGATCTCTTAAGCTTACCGAACTTGTTACCTTCACATTAGTGCTGACAATGCGTTGAGTTGCTAAGATTCTGGATCTTTTGCCTTATCTTGTTTATTGTCTGTTATGAATTCCTATCGAAATTAGTAGGAAAACGCTTCAAGTTATGACAAGATACATATCTACTTTCTGACGATAATACCAAGCGCATTTTCAAAATGCGGTGTCAAAAATGAGCAGAAACCACCGGTAATTCAGCTTCATGGTTCTGCTCCTTGCTTCGTGAGATCGTTTTATCAAACACCAAAACAATAGGCTCAGCTCGTTTAAGTTTTATTCTCACGAAGACAGGATTAATTTTCACTTCACTTAGAAGTGTGAGAAATCTATTCAGTTGTAGGAGAGCTCAAAACTCAACCGCATGTTTACAAGCGATTTACTGGCGACACATGTCGAATAAATCCTTGTCTTAACGAGGGTAAATGTGTTCCTGGCGCGCTAAGCTGCCAATGCACACAAGGTTGGATGGGACGATACTGTCATAGTGAGTGTGACTTCTTCGTCTTTACGTTTGACCGTGTTTCTCTCCATTACGAATTTTGTTGTTTCCAAACTAGTTTACCCTCACCTAACTTTTATGTTTCAGTCATTGTTTTCTTTCAACATTTCTTAATCGAAACGGCAAGTACACGAGAAGCGTTCTTAATGCTTTGTCAATGAACGACTTAACTCGTTTCCGTCTCTGTTCTTAGATCCTAACTTCTTTAGCTAGAAAAACCTTTGATGGTGTCGGTTCTACGCGCTCTTCCTTAATCACAAATCGAGTTTTCGCATCACCACTTCGAACAAGTCTGCTGAACGAAGAACGCGGTCGCGCAATAGCATAACAGCAACGCAGGTCCCTTGGTGCCCGTATCACGATTTCGCTTTTCACTTCACCATCAGTTTAGGAAAAAGATATTCAAGAACTTCATCTCGACTTTAATGTTCAAAATATTTTCTTTATTATTTCCTCTAATGAGTTTCGAAAAACGAAAATGCCTAGTAAAGAGTGATTTCTTTTTGAGATAACTGGCACCATTTATCTACCTAAAGCAAAGCTCGAGCTATCATTTGTGAACTGCAGTGCTTCAAAGGATGTCCGTTATATGATCAGATCGAACTTACCATATTAACGCAAATATCAAAATTATTTCAATTAGATAATGAAATCGTTCTCTCCAAGAATCTAATGCCACGTGTTGTACATAGATCGACAGGTTGGACTTTCAGCTAAAAGTACTCCACAATCAAAAAGTAGATGTGGGCTTTTCGAACGTCAGGACTTTAAGTCGTCCAAGTCCTTTCATAAACAGCCAATATTCTACGAACGAGAAATACATTATTTTTGATTTTAAAAAATAGTCGAATCTCTAACGAATTCTTTATTTGGACTACAGATTGTAGTAAGAAGCAGTAGTTAATGAAGTCAATTTTGAAGTCTTCTCTCGGATATCTAGGCGCGTCCGACCTTCTTCAGTTACTAACAAGGCACTCTTACTCTTGTAACCTTATTTCATCAAAGGTTGAAAGATGTGGATCATCTGTCATGGTGGATATAATCTGTGAATCACATACTTCTTTCCGTAAATGAAAACAACTTAATTGAATAGGTATCCAACTATATGAATGAATTGCCCATCACCGGAACAAAACACGAGAAATAAACATCCAGTGCTTTCCATCTGATGCTTCAGTCTTTACAACTAATAACAGCAGTAAATGCTGCATTTATTTAGGAAGATGTCGAAATATATATAAAAGTTGTGAGCGATGGGCCGCAGAAGACAAATGTCATTCCATTCTTACTCAGACAAATTTCTTCGATGTTAACTGTGCATTGGCCTGCAATCTGTGTAAACCCGACTCCGATAAGGGTACGTTCTCAACGCTTTAATTCCAGATTGGGTTAAACTAATTCAAATGCAAGACATTAACATAAGGGTAAAGCCAGGTCATCGGGCAACTACTCTTTCAATGTAATCTTGTCGTTAATTCTGTACTTCTTCACATGCTGTTTCAGACTTCTAAGCTTGTAAAAGACCATTGTGGTGAATCGTATCTGAGTCGCAATTTGTTTGTCCTAACATTGCTAGCCAACGCACATTATGCAACGGGGAATTGGTCTTTTTAATCGTATTGTATAGGTCGGCCGATGAGGCTTAAAAATGGTGCTCTTTAAGACGCACAAGGGGTAGCGATGGCTTTTATGAAGATCTCAGAATTTCCTAGCACAGAAATTCCTTAAATACGTGAAAATTCAGGCTCGACAAGCGTTTAGCATGACAAAGAAAACTGTGGGTGCCAGTGCCAACTGTAGAACAAGGAGGTGAATGAAAGTGTACGTAATACGAGGATGGACCATTAAAGCATCTAAATAAATGCTGCGGAGCCACGGAACGGGAATGCCTCCCAAGTTCCTTTAAAGCAAAAAAAGTTTTCACTTGTGCAGCGTAGAATTTGTTGCTACACTTTTGAAATACCTATGAATAAGCGTGTCCTTACGTATTTCAGTTGAACCGGAAATTCCTCTTCCTCCAGCTCTCGAGCCTCTCCAATTTTTTCTCGGAAAGTGGTACTCACAAGTACGTATCAGTATCTGCAAGTGCTGAGAACCGCTCAATTTTTGAATCTTCAAAAATTCAGCAATTTCAATACACTGTTCAGGCTGCAAAGGGTCTGCGATATCCAACGGATATCTATGCTAGTGAGTACGAAGAAATTTTGGATGTAGCACCTGCAACTGTACCAATGTTTGGACCTCCTTCACTGAACTTAACGTTTGTGGAAATACTTTTTGTGTTATATTTTTTAGTAACTGTTGTTCACATGATTAACAGTGAAATCATAGACTTACACGACTAAAGGATGAGACCAAATGTCCCAAGAAAATATCAAAGACGTAGAAAAACAAATCAGCAAGCTCGCATATAAAAACTTGGATCTCGGCCATCGAACCATTTTAAAATAAAAATCGCAAAGTGTTCGTTAATATATTTATTTATACAATCTTATAAACCGATCTTTTTGAGCCGATGATATTCGTTAAAAGGTAGTGAATTGTCTTAAACAAAAGCCGCAAAATAGACGAAAGAAATAGGACATTATTATTTCTTCAATTTCTTGTCCGAAGAATGCATAGTCTACATGTAAGTTAAGGTAGAATTTTCACGTTAGTAATGTTGACAATCATCTGAACGGTTTACCACCTCATCGTGGCTGGGAGGTGTTCCTGGGTGACCGGGTGCGATGAGCAACGAGGAGATTAATCCTTTGGCAGGATCTCCCAAGGTGAGAACGAATCCGGCGTTTCCATCAGGAAGCCTAACTAAGAGTAAACCAATGCCAAGATCCACCGTTCTGGTATCAAAGTTGCATGATGGCAAATCTTCCTCTGCTCTGCAAGAGCGGCGATTGCCTGTGATGGTAACGACCTGGAGCAGACTTTGGCCAGACTGTCCTCTTGATTTCAGGGAGCCACGATGGCTAAACCAGCAAATCTCCGAAAAAGTGGAGGTTATTCTAGGGTCCGTACAATGAGTGAAGACAAGCCATCCAAGCATCCAAGTAGCCAAGTGTTGTTGGCAATAAACAAACAAACAAACCAACACGCAGACAGACAAACAAGAAGCTGTTAGTATAAATTTAATATAATAAGTAAGAGTACGCAGCACAACAGAATTTCTGACCTAGCCTACACTCTAAGCTACTCGGCCAAATTAAATACCACAGGCAATGTCCCTGACATGACGGAAGTCTGGCATTAACGTATTGAGACCACTATGAGTCGTCACTCACTACAACATATTATGTGGTTTAGTCAGCCTATAACTAGTATTCGCTGTTTCCATATAGAATGTAACGCTTCCTTGAATGTGTTATCTACATTTTCAACTAATTAGCGGATGTTTAGAGAGAAGTTCTGGATTTTTGCGGTCCAGAGTTTTGCAAATATCTCAGCAACGTTGTGGTTGTATTTCGCTTAGTAACCTGCCATGAAAATTATAGAAGGCAGAAAACAAAACGTTAAACATTGTGATTTCAACTACTGCCATAGCTTAACTGGGTTCTATGCCGATTTGCGCTCCCCAGATCAACCCCGCTGAGGGGTGATTGCTGTGGCAAAAAGATCGATAGAAATAGCTGAGAGACAGGCGAAACGAAGGACCCGCATGGTGTGGTGGTGAATGCGTTACTCCCCGGAAAGGATAATAGCGCGTTCGTTCCCCACCATAGACACCTGCGGTCCAGAGTTTTGCAAATATCTCAGCAACGTTGAAGTTCTGGATTGTTTAAAAGCACACTTCTCATTTCATTCTAGAATTCTTTTCGTGTAGCTGACCCTGAATTCTAGTCTGAGCTCGATAGTTAAATTCTGGTAAAAAAAATAATGCTTCGGACATACTCATCTTTAATGTTATTGTCAATTAATAAAAATAGACGTCTTTATAGTGTACTGACCTAAATTCACGTAATAGCTACTTAATGTTTCTCTCCAAAATGTCGTATTAATATCTTTGCAATCTACTCATTTCTAAGACCAAGTCAATGCAGCACAGTTGAACTAAACTTGTAAACTAGTGGCTATCACACTATATGTCTGATTGTTAGTGTCATGTTCATAGAGGAAAGTGACTACAAGAGGCCTTTAAGGACTATATGATTGCAACACTTTTGGAGAAGTGTCTATGCATTAGGTAATTACTGCGTACATCCAATGAAACGAGTTTTATTTTGTAGAAGCACATCGTGGTATGACTCGGACATTAGAGTCATGCATGGATTCATAACACTGAAACCGAACTCGTACCCTCCTGAAGTTGCCATCTTAAGCACCAGCAATGAAGGTTTGCCTTTCGTAATGTAGTAAGCAGTTCATAAACATATTCTATATGCTTGAGTTTATTATTCCACGTGACTAATTTATCCATCTATTCATTCCGTTTTTTATGCCTTAATATTTAGCATATGGCAAACAACACTATTTGGTTTTATTACATTCTATTTAATAGATCTGCTTTCGAAATAGCTATTTTATCACTTATTTCTCGCTTACATGGGCGCTTGTGTCGTCGGAGGCGACCTGCAACATACACGTGGAATCGATCAACGCGCCCATGGCTCACCAAGCCTTCCTTCCTTCCGGGTTCGGCAAATTGGCACCAGACTTGTCTAGGGGGATAGCAATACTGGCTCGACATATCGGTGGAGCACCCCGTGGCATTGTAAAGGCCAGATATGCATTTAATCACCTCCAACGATACTTAATGAAGTCGAATCCATGGCCTAACCCTCAGAGATTAATCAAAGGCGAGGACTTTATCCTTTTATTTCTCGCTTAGACACAGCGTCATTAAATGTGTGTAATACTTACGGTAACGGAGAAGTTCACATGTCGTTATTAGGTAAGACGACGCACAACTACCAAGGCGAATTTTTTATTAACAGTATTTCTCATTCACAGTTCCAGTAAGGAAATCGATAAGGCAGTTACTTCTTTATACAACGAGTTTCTTTTCTTCAACTAGTTTCACACGTCGACCTCTTTTATGCGGCTTTCTGGCCAAAAATGTGTACTAATGCTTACATTAAAGGACTCAACATGATCGAACTCGGAGTCTTGAAGCACCACGTTTTGACGCTCAATGTCTCCTTCATGCAAGTCCATCCAACAATCGACAGTTCCATTTTGCCCCTAGGGGTTAGTTCATTGGAATCTATTCGCTTCAAATACTATAATATGTCGTTGTACTTGTATTTCACACGGTTCTCTACAAATTTTTCACTAGTTTTTTCGTGAGAAAAAACTTTCCAGTTGCTTGATCGTCCCGAGTGTTGCTTTATTATGTTTTCATCAACGGAAACCATTGAAAAATAAAGCGCAGGTTTAGGCAACGCGTCGATTTCGAAGAGTTGGCCAATTGTTGGAAATGACAGTTGCTAAGCTTTTTGCAAATAATAAAGTACGGATTTTGAAATTATTGATTGCGCTTTCTGGATATGCTACATAGTAAGATTTCTCTTTGTATCCGAAAATTCTGTATTTTCAGGTTTCACAGTTTAAGAAAATGTTTAGAAAGATCATGGACTATCCAATCTAAAAGCGGGTTAATACTCTAAGAAGAATAATTCTCTACTTCCGAAAGACGTTTAAACAGTTGTACAAGCTGTATCCGTTTTAAAACCATTGGTGTTGTAGAAAGATCTGATACCATTGTCAGTCAATAAGCTGTTCCATCTAGTTGACTTATGTAGAATCTGAATTCTGTTTAAAATATATCTACATTGTGTGTCACCGTCTAAAAAATTTGGCTTTTTTATCCTTCAGTGAATCAAGCCTTTCATTTACTTGTGCTTTTCGACAGACAGCTTCTTTACTAACAACTGCTGATTTCAATTCTTCTTTAGTCACATAAAGACATTCCTCTTTGCTTCCAATTCCACACGAAAAATTTTCTATTACACCCCATTAATGAGGTTCTGAGGAGATTAGTTGAAACTTTCTTTACCATTTCCTGTGTTTAATAGGTGGATTGTTGGAACTATTAAACAGTCCAGATGGACCACCCAAACAAAAAATCGGAAAGAAACCTTTAAATTATAAAAGGGATAGATAGAAAATTGAATTTTAATTAAGCTAGGCATTAGCCAACTCACGCTGTTTTACGAACTCTTTTCTTTTCTTTTTCGAATTGACACGAGGTTTCTAACACTTGTTTTGATGATCGCTAGCTGACGTTTCGGCGACTTCGCATTGCTCAGATCATAGATGTATTGTGTATACAACGACATTCTTATTAATAGGAGAGGATTCTTCAAGTTTCTCCCAACTGTTTACCTTATCGTAGCTGGGGAGTGTTCGTGGATGTGATGCACAGCGGGAGGAATCACCCACCAGCAGAGTCTCCCAAGCTGAGAAGGTGACCGGTGTTTCCACCAGGAAACCCAGCGAAGAATAAACCAATACCAGGCGCGACCACTGTCCTGGTATTACGCTAGACACATGCTGGCAAATCTTACTCTGACCCACAAGGGCGACGACTGCCCGCAGTGGTGACGACTTGGGCCGGCTTTGGGTATGCTGACGTCGAGACTCCAGGGAGTCACATCAAGCAAAACTCCGAAAAAGTGGTCACTGTGCTGGGGTCCGCAAACCAGTATAGAAGGGCCATCCATCTATCCAAGTACGCATTCTTTAGCTTAAATAAGAAACTGATTCATAAACCAAACTAAATATTTGCATCTGCAAAGTAACTCACCGTTTACTTTTCTAATTCTTTGCATTACATAAATCTAGTGTATCGAGAACAGGCGATTATTTCTCGGTCAGTGGGGTATTTCAGACGTTCAAAGCCTTACAGATTTACAGAATTAACTTTTCTCCGCCACAGAAACAACATATATAACATATAACTTTCACACAATGTCATTTCAAACCCAAATATGTTTAGAACTGAAATTTCCAACGGAAGGGCAGAAGTGGAAAGCACAAAAGACATAATGAGAAGCACCGTCTTGCTTATTGGAAAAAAACCCGTTTGTTGATTTGTTTCACTAGAAACATGACACCTGAAGGAGTAAAGTAGGAGAAATATATGTCATGGGCTCCAGAAAGTCAGAATTTCGTCACAGCAAAGCACGAGAACCTTTTTTTTGCTGGTAAAAAATTGCGGTTTCCAGTAATTTTTATTGAATTTGAAATACACCGTAAGCTGGGGTATTTTGATTTGAGGTTGAAAGCGGCCATTATTCTCGCTTCATGTGACTTTTGCAGAGCAGCTCAAATAGAACGATGAGGATGATAACGTGCTCAGATCGTATTAATCTGAGAAAAGCGCTAAGTCATACGTGATAGTTAGAAGTTTATCCAAACTGCCTTAAGAGCTTCGCACGTTGATGTTTTTTATTCCTGCATTAGAACAGTGACTCTTTAATCTATCATTAACTATAATCTCCCACTTTAAAATTATCGGCGTGGTTTTTTTTGTGTACTAGGAAAGTATTTTTCGAGTTTCAAATTAATCAATTAGACGTCCTCTTATTTGGACACAACAATTTCCAGCTGTGTAGGAAACATATCCTTAGCCAATTGCTCAAACACATTGTTATCCATTTTCCTAACACTAAAATGTTCCTGAACGACCTACACTGTGCACATACAAACCGCTCATATCCTATGTTGCCATTTGGTTTTACCGTAATCTACACTCTAGGATGGCATCGCAATAAAGGCTCTTTTCGAGGTACTCATAGAACACGAAAAGAAGAAAAAATATCTATGACGTCTTAATTCAATAGCTCATAGCAGTGTTTTAGCTGTTCAATCTAAACTTGGTCGAAGAGATATTACTCAAAAATCGAAGAGTTACCAATAGGACAGCGAGTGGCATCAAGACTTGCCATCGCCTTTGTGTCAAAGGTGGGAGCTCCAGTTCTCGATCATCGTCCTTCATTGTACTGTCGATACGTAGACGATTGCTTCGTCATCTTCTCTACACAAGAGCGGGTGGACATAGGTTTGTAGTCCTTGACTAGTCAGAGTTTACGCGAGAACAGCCTATAGACAACTTGCTCCCAATCCTATGTATTTAATTGCAGCTTTCTGAATGTGAATACATCTCAATATGGTGCCGAAAGCTAAGGAATAGAAGTGTACTAATGAACTATTTCTCTTCTCATTTCCTTCGAGCACAAAACGCATTTGTCCAGAACATGAACCAAATGGCTCCAAAAGTGTGCACAGGTGAAAACGGAAAGTAATCACACTACACTCGGTACAATAAGTAGCCATCTCAAATGGCTGCGAAGAAACAACCCCTGAGGTTTGGTCTAAGAGGGGCACTAAGCCTCAAAACTGTATTATTGAACACTCAACTACTATTAAAAGTGCCTAAAAAATGTGGTCTAGAGAGTCCTTTGGCCGTCATTGAATTTTCATTGTGCCCTACGTCGTTATTTAGTTCGAATCCGTGTACACCACTGCCTGTATGAAGCAGACCATTGCGCCATTTTCTCTAACGTTAGTGACAGAGAATGCATGAGTTCAGGTACAATATACTTGATCTCATGCAAAAGTATCCAGTGATGACTACGTTGACTAAACGAGTAGACCACTTTGTGTTTCCACAGAATAGCAATTAGATGGGAACCTTGAAAACCGGCGAAGTCCTTGTCTAGGTAAAAACGGGGCACAAAAGCATAATAGTGATGATTTCGAGTTGTCCGCCGTGATCCTATGGTAGGAATGAAAAACGTTACCACGCAAACTCTTGAAGCGTTTTGGATAAAGTCAAAAGTCCAGAAATGTACCGAAGAGATGAATGCCCCACAATCACACGTGATTTTTTTGTATGTTCTCGGATTGATTTCTTAATCTGAGTGGGTTTCATCCGTCAACTCTGGTGAACAACGCTCTAGAGGTAACACATTCAGCAAAGCGCTGAGTAGTTTTTAAACAGAGTGCTGTTTATTTATATAAGAAATCTTCACTAGTACTACAGATAATTCATTTAATTATATGGATAGCGTTACGTAGAATACGTCCAAGGTACTCGTATGTAGTGGCTTCTTATCAGAGAACCATCTAGCTCCATTTGTTTCCCTTCGCACCATATATGCGCCATGGACTGGGTCTTCGTCCTACTTGTGAGCAGTCCAATCATTTTTCCTACTTCGTTAAGCTCAATGGGCATTATCTCTTCTTCACTGATAATCGTTGAAAAAGGAAAAATATGATCAGCGAAACGAGAATATGCTACGAATTATTTGTCAATACCTATGCCCTTATCGTTTCAATGGAGGGAATCATTATCCATTGCAGTGGGCAGTGAGCAGCTTTGCCGATATGGTATCGCCTTGTTGAACCCCTTTTCCACTATGAATGGTGAGGGGTCGACGAAAAAGCACTATATTTGTCCTGCAGCTACGACAATAATGTGGTAGTTCTATATTCTTTCATCAGTAGGGAAACATTACAATCGCAAGGATACCGATGGCACTATCTTAGACAAGGTCGTTTTTGGGATGCTTCCAGCAACTCTTTTTGCTTGTACCTGTGAAATCCTCCTACGAAGATCTTCTTTTGCCAGCATTTATAATCAGCCGTGTTAGATGTTTTCCAGTATAATCGAGCTTCAGTTTGAGCAACTCGTTAGTGATGATGGACTTCGACAAGTAGGATGTAGCCCTCAGTCGGCTCTTCCAATATCTACCAATCATATTAAGAGAAGATTTTATTAAGAATATCTCCGTCGTACATGGTTTGTTTGTTTTTTCTTAGACGATGACAGGAATTCTCTTCCAGTTTATGGCTGAAGCTATTCTTCAAATAGTTAAGGCGGTGAACAGGTTCAGTTCCAGCGACTACAAGAAAGTAAAGGTTGCAGCATGAAGGGACTGTTTCAATGTTGCAGGTGCAGAGCAAGAAGCAGTCTCCATGGTATTTCGAAGCGTGCTCGTTTTTTTTTTCGGTTCCCAATGTTGTCATGTGCAAGCCGAGATTTGATCTCCTCTCACCAGTTGTCTCACCGTCCGACATCGTAGATGGGAGTGCCCAGTGTGTGGAGAACTCGTGCTATAGATTTGTTGGCTTAGCTAATATGGTTCCCTAGAGTTCCTAGGTCGGCCTAGGCGAAACTTTCCTCTACAGAGGTAGTCGTCACCACTTTTTGGTGAGGAGATTTGTCATCATGCGACTAGTTTATTACCAGAACGGTGGTGGACCTTGGTATTGGTTTAGTCTTAGTTGGACTTCCTGATGAAAACTCTGAGCTCCTTAGCTTGGGAGGCTCTGCTGGAGGTATGGATCTCCAGCTGTGCATCGCACTCCGACATCCAAGAACACGTCCCAACCACGATAATGCGGTAAGCTGTAGGAAGGATTTCGATAAATTTTGCAGAACAAATCAAATTTCCGCACATAGTACCCAATCGGCATTGAATGCAACGCATTCGCTTCAACATTAATGTCATGTTCAAGCCATCACTCTTAACTTCATAATGAACTTTATTAGATGGAATCAAAAACCACTAGACTGTAACCTCATTCTATCAAGATGGCATCATGATTCTCTAAAGGACATGAAGTGCTTTTTTACTATTT